GATGGCTACCTCAGCTTTTTTATGGGAGCTGTTTGCCTGTAGGATTGTTTTCCAGCCTTTGACTCTGAGTCTGTGTTTGCTTTGACTATTGAGATGTGTTTCTTGCAGGAAGCAGAATGTTGGGTTCAATTTTCTAATCCATTCTGCTACTCTGTGTCTTTTAATTGGTGCGTTTAGCCCATTGACATTGAGAGAGATTATTGTTATGGGTTTTTGTCCCATTTTGCTGTTGATATTTGGTGTGTTTGAGGGGCCTGTTTTGCCTTAAAGTAGCCCATTTAGTTGTTCTTGTAACCATGGTTTTGAGTCTATGAAGTTCCTGAGCTGTTGTTTTTCTGTGAAACTGTGTATTTTTCCTTCTGTTATGAATGAGAGTCTCGCTGGGTAAAGTATTTTGGGGGAGGCATTTATTTCATTGAGTTTTTTCACTATATCCCACTACTGTTTTCGGGCCATGAGGGTTTCATCAGACAAATCAGCTGTGAATTTTAAGGATGCTCCTTTGTAGGAGATTTCTTTCTTCGATATTGCTGCTTTCAGAATTTTGTCTCTGTCTAAGATTTTGGTCATTTTGATCAGGATGTGTCTTGGGGTATTTTTATTCGGATTTCTTCTAGCTGGTACCCTTCAGGCCTCCTGAATGTGGTCTCAAGTTTTTGTCAACTCTGGAAACGTTGTAGAAATGATGTCTTTGATATTTTCTTCTTTATCAAGATTTTCTTCCTGTCCCTCTGAAACTCCAATAATTCTTATGTTACTCCTCTTGTCTTCATCACGATCTTCTCTTACCCTCTGTTCTCGAATTGTGAGTCTCTTTTCCATTTTCTTCTCTTTTCTGGAGAGTCTCTGAACTTCATCTTCGTGCTCACTGATTCTATTCTCAGCAGCTGTTACTCTGCTGCTGAGTCCTTCCACTAAGTTTTTCAATCTGTCTACCAGGTTTTTTAGGTCTGACATTTCCGTTTGCGTTTTCCTCATTTCTGCCTTCAAATCTTGTCTTTTATTTGCATTGCTTTCCATTGTTTCTTTTAGTTCCCTAAGCATCCTTTGTAGCTCCCTTCTGAATCCCTTATCAGAGAGGTTGTCTAACACCACAGTTCTTTTGGCGTCTTCTGGGCTAGCCTCTTCAATAAGAAAGTTTGGTGGGCTTTTGCGTTGCTTTACCATTGTGACCAATGTGGTTTAGTCCTTTATGTTCACTGTTACTATTTTGTTTGATATGCAGAATGAATTGAGATAGGCTTAACGAGTTATTGGCTAACGTGTTTCTAGTGGTTGAAGTAACCTAGAGAAGGTTCCATCTAAGAGGGTAACTTAAGGTTACTATGGGATATGTAGTGGGAGAATACTTTGCGGCTGCATTAGTGGACGCGGCTCCAGAAAGAGTCCCTGGCGCTGGGTAGCGGGCAGTATCTGTATGAATGGAGAGAGTACCCAGAGCCATTCAGCTTTGTTTCTGCGAAATGTGCCTCAGTTCCCGTCCCACGCAGATCAAGGGGTTTAACCAGCTGTTCTAGGTGGAATCAAGCTAGCTGCGCATGCCCAGAAAGAGTCCCTGGACCTGGGCGCCGGCAGTACCTGTATGAATGAGGAGAGAGTGCCCGGAGCCATTCAGCTTTGCTTCCGTGAGATCCAAAATTTCTTTTGTAGTATATAGCATTAAAAATTAAATTTGTTAAATATTTAATTTTCACTGGAAAAAAATTTTATATGTGAGTACCAAACTCCTCTTTACACTATTTTAATATATCAGCAATTATCAAACTCAAGTGTTTCATCTGGAGACTTATTAAAACTCAGATTGTTGGGTTCTACACCAGAGTTTCTGATTAAGTAGTTATGGAGGGAAGTCTATATTTCCCTGTCTAGCAAGTTTTCATATAATGCTTATGTGCTCTGCCTAGGGACCACATTTCAATGATTACTGATTTATGTGACTCTACCCTGAGTCTTTTTATTATCCAAATTTACTTTCACTGTTTACTGCATCCAGGGAATGCTATTTAAAGACAGCACTGACTAAGACTGTGATAGACCACCAGGCCCAGGTATGCTTGTTCTTCCAGTATTGGGTCAGAAGGAGGTCTAAAAGGCAAAACTGAGGAGAATGACAATTTTGTCAGTAACTCAAACTACAAATTAAGGAACAATTTTCACATGTGCAGTGGGTGGAAAGAACTATTGTTTTCCCATTAGTCTCTACAGTATCACATGCTCTAGTGATCTCAATTTATGTCTCTTGCATCATCTTTGAGTATGAAGGATGACATTATAATGCTTCTACACCTAGAAAACAATTTTTTATTTATATTCTTTAATTCCTGTTAGGAGCTCAGCCAAGTAAAAATCTAGGTATTAAGTGAACTGATACATCTAGCCAACTGCTTAATTTTCATTTACTATAAAATCAATACTGGCATATTCTGACTTGTAAAGTGATCATACAGGTCTAAAACATAAAAAAAACTCAGAATTGGTCAGAGAGGAAGGATTCAAAAAATTACCACTGAGTTCCTCTTTACAAATGTAATAAAGTAACCATATTTTTGATCATCTGATTTCCCAAAACTCCTTTCATATATAAATATTTGACAGTGAAAAGTATATAATTTATAGATTGAATTAACTAAATGAAAAGAATATAGATAATGTAATATTATTGAGAATAATGAAACATAAGAATTGTAATCATACTTAGAAGGATTTAATGTCAAATAAATCACGATTATTATAAAAATTTTATATTTACATTTTCATCAAACATTTTGTATTTTGTTTTTTTTTTGTCATTTTATTTGATTATCAAGACAAAAAAAATTTGGCCTGTTTTTGGGTCATACCCATCAGTGTTCAAGGACTTACTCCTGGCTTTGAACTCGGGGATCATCCCCAGCTGTGCTAGGGGAACAACATGTGGTTCTGGGAATAGAACTTGGGTCAGGAATGTGCAAGGTAAGTGTTTTAACCTCTGCACTATCTTCCCAACTCTATCAAACGTTTTAATGTTGATGCATAATCAGTGAAATCTGAATAAGGCAAATGCATCCAATTTTGACACATATGGCTGTTTTGCTTGAATTAGTTATGTGAAAAAACATTCCCATTTATGGAAAAGGAGTCTAAAAAATAAGTATTTTCACTATTATTTAGTTTTCACTAAGTGTATGTCATTTGACAATATATAGTGTTGTGTTTATTTAACTTTATATAAATGACATAATATCAATATCATTCAGTTTCTTCTTGTTCTATAGTAATTTACTGTTTCTTATATTTATTTATTTGGGGTTTTGGGGCCACACTCAGTGGTACTCAGGGGCTACTTCTAATTCTGTACTGGGGAGTTACTCCTACCAGTGCTTCAAGGACCATGTGTTGTTGGAAATTGGACCAGGTCAGCTGGCCTCACAACTTATCTTTTAAACAATTACATCGTCATCTTATATCACTGAGATTTTAAATGTATTTCCCTTTTTTAATAGTTAAGCTTTCCACCAAATTTTCAATGCTAGAATTTTTTGTGAATGGCATATATTCATTTTGCATATTGGCATATAATTTTCTTATGGCACACATTCTTAGACACATAGTCTAGAAGTGAAGTTGAATAGTATACAAATAATCAGCCTTGCTAAGTATTGACAGATTGCCCTCTGAATTAATCTTAACAACTACATCACAGCAATTATTATACAAGTATCTTGTTTCACATTTTCCTCATCTACATGAGAGAGTTTTACACTTTGTCCAGTTGGAAATTTTATTTTATTGTTTTATATTTATTATGCCTAATATTTATAACTTCTTTTTGCTGTACTTTAGTTAATTTGTAGTTCGTGGCTATTTCCTTTCTGTTTTCCATTTCTGTTCTGTGCCAATTTTTCTACTTTGTTTTTTGTTTTTCTCTGTGGTACGTGTTTAAATTTTATTTTTATGATGATCTTGTCCAGAATTTTTTAATTATGTTGTAATAAATATTAATCTTTCCCTTATCTTTTTCTTTTGTTATGTCTAATAAATCTTTCCTAATCTAAAATCCTCAAAAATGTTAAGTTTGCCTTTGATAATATATATTTAATATACATAGGATTATTATAAGTGCTACACAAAGCATCAATTTGTTCTTTGAGGAGAAGCCTACATGCAGTGCTCAGAGAACTTGGCGGCCACTCTGATTCTCAGACAACTCGATAAGACAGTTCAGTGCTTGGGGGTCTACAGGGCTATGCCCAGAGTTGCTCGGGGTGAGTTATCCAGTGTTAGGGACTGAATGCAGGTCCTACGAATGAAAAGCATATGCTGATCACCTTTTGGTTGTCTCTCCAGACTCATCAATTTGGTTTTTTTTTTTTTTGCTATGAATTAATGATAGCTTCATTTTTGACTATTCCACCCTTTCACCAGTAATTTGTTTAAATTAATTTTAGACTACTTATGGGGTGGGGGCGGCTGTTGGGCAACACGTGGTTGTACTCAGGGCTTTCCTGGTTCTGTGCACAGGGATCAATTCTTGTAAAAATCAGGGAACTATATGGGGTGTAACTTGCACTAGCTCTACAGTTTAGCAATTGTACTATCTTTCCATCTCTGTTCACACTTAAATGGGAAATACGAATACTTTGCTTATAATATTTCCTCTTAACACTTAGGGGAGACATAATTTCAATGGTGATGATCAGGAAACGTAGAATGTGGAACATGGTAGGCTTATGTGTTGAGGCCGCCCTGGTGCTTTAAGGAGGACACTGAGCCACTCAGCAGAGAACGGATGTGGCAGCTGGCATCTGTCAGATTCCTATTTTACAAGTTTTAAAAAGACTCCTGGTAAAGGCTATACACATCTTAAAATATTATCTTAAGTATCCTAAGCTATTCTTTGTCCCCAAAGCAGTTTTGCTAAAGATTATCAAATATTTCTGATAATAAAATATTTCCTTGACAAACTTTTTGCTTCCTTGAGAATTGATTGGTTCGTTAAAGTTTGCATTCTTCTTTTATAGGTGGTTCTTTGGAGCAACCAAGAGAGCAGAAGCACAGAAATACCTGTTGCATTCAGGAAATCAGACGGGTTCTTTTCTAATCAGAGAATGTGAAAGCCAGAAAGGAGATTTCTCCCTTTCAGGTACGGGCATTATTTTGTGTGATTTAAGTATGGGTTTCAGAGCCCATGTCACAGGCTTGTTGTGTGAACATGAAAATGTTACTTTAAATTTGTCGTACTTTTTTTCTTTACAAAAATGCCAACATTAAATTAGAAATAACCAAAAGTAATACATAAAATGGTGAAAATTTTCTATCTATGGTTAGAAGATGCTAGACATAGTTTCAAATACATGTACTCCATGTATGAAATTAAAAGTACATAGATCCGTCTCCATTTTCTCATGTTTGCATTGTCTAGAACTTTATTCTTCTAGGAAATTAATGATAAGCAAGACACAAAACATTTTCACTGTCACTGAATCACTGTCATCCCGTTGTTCATCAATTTACTCAGCGGGCACTAGTAACGTCTCTATTCGTCCCAGCCCTGAGATTTTAGCAGCCTCTCCTTACTCGTCTTTCCCAATGATTGGAGGCTCTTTCAGGGTCAGGAGAATGAGACCTGTTATTGTTACTGTTTTTGGCATATTGAATATACCACGGGGAGCTTGCCAGGCTCTGCCTGTGTGGGCAGAATACTCTTTGTAGCTTGCTGAGCTCTACAAGTGCTAAATATATATATATATATATATATATATACATATATATGTATATATATATTTATCTCTATGATTTATTGCCTAATGTCTGAAACCCATCAAATATGGTGTGGTAATTATGGAAAATGGGTAGGAAGTGCAGCCATGTGGTCTGGAAAGCAGCCTGGAGCGTGGCGGCGGTTGGGTAGTGGAGGTCGGCTGCCAGGGCTGGGTCCCTTGGGGCGGAGAGGGCTTTCACCCGCCTCACTCTGGGGTGCCCTGAGTGAGAACAGCTGGGCTCAGAGTCCACACCAAAGAATAGACTAAATATTTTAGATTAGTGTTTAAAATATAAAATAATGTTTATATATTAAAATATATAAATAATGAGGAAAACCAGGGGAAAGTAGTAATACCTGAGTCATATATTTGAATAATAACCAGACTAAGGCAATTATTCTGAACACTTTCTGGTAGAGTATAATGGAAAAAAACAGCTTTACAGACTTATAACAAAATTACAAGGATATTGACTGTTATGTACTGTGACTACTCCTGTGTATGCTTATAGTTTTAGTAAGCATTGTGGGTCGCCTTGGAGTTCAGAATACCATTATAGATTCCTTTTCAATGAAGTCAAGCAATTTAGTGTCTTTCAAACAAATCATCTGATTATAGTGCATTCGTTGGGGGATAAAGCAGATGCTAAACCATTATGTTGTACCGAAAGGGAAATTTCATTATTAGTCACAAGGAGGGCTATCCAGGAGAAAAATGAAGAGAAGAAGGTATTTAATATATCTATATTAAAATGAATAAACATTCTGGCACTGAAAATAAGCAAACAATCAAATTGAACACTGTTGATCACCACTAAAAATTTTCAGGGTATACCACTCATAGATTTCTTTCTTAGCACCATTGTCTTCTTAATCAGCCAGAATTGATGGTCTTCAATTGTGCTGACTGCTGTGCTTCCAAAGGGAGGCAAATAATATTCTTTTCCTATCTCTGTCTTTCCCACATGAGTTTTCCTTAGAAGGATTGTCTTTATTCCTTGGGCAGCAATGGCTTGCAGCTGTCAGAGAGGCATTTCATGAGAGCGCATGATTTATTGATACTGGGGTGACTGGAGAAGCAGCAGCCCAAGGTTGGGGGTGGGTGCTAATTGGCTTGTTGTGATTCTTTCATGGCTGTCGGTTCTTGTGAGGTCTAAGTAGATCTGGGAGAGAGTTAGGGCCATGACACCTCTCTATAAAGTCAAGACACTAATTAGCTGTGAATTACAGTGGTGCTTTTGGATATTACATATTAAATGTGGTAGCCAGAGTATCTGTCTTCATTATATGCATGACAGGTAGTTTTAGGGCCCCCACTGTTATTTGTCATTGGTAGTGAATTGTTTTACTGATGAAAAATATAAAATTCTGACTGCATGCCAACTGGTTTGGCTATTTCTTGCATTCAATCATCTACTTTAAAGGAAATTATTATTGCTATTTACCATTAATATTAATTTGATGCTTGGTGTCCTGTGGCATTACTGATATTATTATTCAAAGTAAACTTTAAGGACAGTACACTTTGATGTTTAAAACTGAGCTGCAGATGAATTTTTCAGAAGAGATTCAGCAATGCATATTGTATTTCTACATAAGGCAAGTCAGTGTGTAAAAATCCTCCAGAGTAAGAACAGGAATTCTAGATTCATCCTTAATGAAACCCTTTCAAATAAAATAATAGATTGAAGAGAGTTGCAAAATAAATGCATTTAAGACAGGAGTGAAATGAAAAGCTCATTATCAATATTCAGGATGATGCATATAGAAGCTATCATTTAAATTTTTATTTCCAAAAATTGAAGTGCCTACTATGTGCTTGGCCTTTGTTAGATGAGGAATGGCATGAATAGCAAGGACATCCCTTGTACTTGGGGAAGGAGGCTTGTGATATGTTTTTTGTATCCTGAGACCCTTTGTAGGTGGTCAAGTCTCTGAGGGGGAGCATAAAAAAAGGGAGAAAACATTTGTATTCTATAGCAGGGATTCTTTAACTTTTTCTACTCATCAGACCTTTTTTCCAAAAACACCTAAAATTAACTACTTGCTTGATTCTGAAATAACTTTTGATTGTTGCATTCAGAAAATATTCACTATTACCATTTTTTTTCACAAGCTCCAATTTTAGTTTTGATACCTATGTCCACAGTTTAAGAACCTAGGTTCTGTATCAATTTGTATTACAAGGTAACAATATGAACAGGATTCACTTTTGCAAGGTAAGTGTAAATATTCTTGGTGTTTTGTAGACTGGTGAAGGACAGTGCAGGGGTGTGTGTATGTGCGTGCACATATGTTGCAAGGATGGAAGAGAAGATGATTAGTAGAAAATGATCCTAGAAATTAAAGTTAGTTTGCCTATTCCCTTTCATATGCCCTGCTCAGGAAGTTGGACTTTAAGACACACAAGAAAGTTTTAGTCAGAAATTGAACTGATCTGGACAATGAAAATCAATATAGAGAATGTATTAGAGATTAATACAATAGACTGGGGAGGACTGACAGCGACTTTGCTGCTGTTTGAAATGACAATTGCAAGACAGCAGAGTTAGTCAGTGTTCTGCAGAAGAACAATGAGACATATGTCAGTTGACTATACTAAGATTATATAGGCACCCAATGTCCCCAGAAGTTATTGGACCGCTCTCCTACTCTCCTTTTTTAATATGAAGAATAGGTGGAAATGGCCCTGAACTCACAACGACATTTTTGCTTTGGTAATTAAAGGCCTAAGTTTTGGATAATAACTCTTTGCAAGGTTGTTTGGAAGACCCAGCACTCTGGTCTTTGAGAACTATAGGGAATTGCAACCCTTCTACTTTTTTTTAAGTTTATATAAACATTTACTTATTTAAAAATATTTTATTTTTATAAAGTAGTTTACAATATTTGATTACATTTAATATTTGAACACCAATTCCACCACCATTACACCTTCCCACCACCATATTTTGGATGTTTCCTTCCCGAACCCCACCCCCTGCACCAAAGCAGAACCAAAATAATTTGTATTATTATTTTTTTTAATGTAGGAGTACTGCTATTTATTCAGCTGTTGATTAAGCTGATTGAATTGGGCATGAACTCCACATTACTTTTTTTTTAAATTCAGAATGTTAATTTAATTTTATTATTCACGATCATGATCACGACCATCCTGTTATTCGTCGATTGCCTCGAGCAGGCCCCAGTAACGTCTCCTTTGTCCTAGCCCTGAGATTTTTTAAAAAGTGCCATATTTAAGGCCCTCCCGTTGATCGTCGATTTGCTCGAGTGGGCCCAGTAACGTCTCCATTGGAGACTTTGTTGTTACTGTGTCTGGCATATCGAATACTCTCGGTAGCTTGCCGGGCTCTCCGAGAGGGGCGGAGGACTCGAACTCGGGTCGGCCATGTTGGCTGCATGCAAGGCAGACGCCCTACCCGCTGTGGCTCTTTCAGGGTTAGGAGAATGAGACTCATCATTGTTACTGGTGTTTGGCATATTGGGTACGCCACGGGGAGTTTGCCAGACTCTGCCGTGTGGGCAGGTTACATTCGGTAGCCTGCCAGTTTGTCCAAAGTAGGAATGCATACTTATTTCCAAGTTAATTCTTTTGTGTTGAAGGTGGTGTTGGTTAAAATGAGGTAGAAATGGAACCCTCTCTCACTGTTTATGGAAATAGTGTTTGGTTCAACCTCTATGAAAATAAATACAAAAACTTTTATAAAAAAGTAAAATAGACCTTTCATATCACCCAGTAATCATACTTCTTGATATCTGCATCAACTGTAGCATTGTAGCACCATCACCACCTTCAACACAAAAAAATTTTATTATTATTATTTTTTAATCAATGAGATATAGTTACAACGTTTTCCTGTTTCAGTTTCATACAATGATCGCCTGACCCTCTAACCCTCTACCAGTTTACATCTTCCGCCACCAAGGGCCCCACTATTGTTCTCTCCCATCCCCCATCCAGCCTTTCCTCCTGCCTCTATGGCAGGCAATCTCCCCGCATACTCTCTTTTTGTATTGCTTGTTATGAATAGCATAAGATTTCCTGGAATTCTAAAATTTTAGATAATTAGGGTCTGGAGAAATCTCTGCAGCAAGCTTCTTGGTTCAGAGATTCTTTTGTGTGTCTGTGGATTATGGCCGGCCGTTAAGGAGCTTAAATAGCAGCTAGAGGCAGTTTTTGGGCATGACCTCTGGGGTCCCAAGGGGATGGGGGATGAGAAGGATGTGCCCATTCCCTATTCCTTGAGGCATGGAATTTGCCATCACTGAACCCGTGTACCTCCACTTCTCATTGAGTTCTGGAAGTTGGCAGCCACCGGGGTTTTTAGTGGGCAGGTGGAGGGACAATGCCTATCTCTGTCTGAGGCACCCTGGTGAAA